TTTAATATTGATTCTTAAGCACAATGATCTCTCATTTATTTTATTATCATTTCCAAAGGAGAAAAACAAGGATAATTTATATTTTTACTAAGTCCTAATCAAATTCATACCATACATCAGAAACATTTTACTGAAAATCTATGGATACTGGAGAATTAAAAAATATTCCGTTTAGAAAAAAAAAATAATTGCGCTGGATAGCTTCAGTTGTCAACTTAACAGACCTGGGAAGAAGGAACCTCAATTTGAGGCACTGTCTCCATCGGATTGGCCTGTGGGAATGTCTGCAAGGCTTTTTCTTGATTGATGAGTGATACGGGAAGGTCTAGTCCATTATGGGTGGTGCCATTTATGGACTAGTGGTCCTGGGTGGATAAGAAAGCTGGCTGGGCACAGCTCAGAGGGAGGAAGCAGGAAGCAATGTCTTCATGGTCTCTGGTTCAGTTCCTGCCTCCAGGTGCCTGCCCTGACGTGTTGCCTAACTTCCCTCAATGTTGGATTGTCACCTGAGAGTTGGAAGCTGAAATAAACCCTTTTCTCTCCATGTTACTTTTGGTCAGAGTGTTTTATCATATCAGTAGAAAGCAAACTAGAACAATAATCTTTAGCCTGATTTTTAAAGCTCAAATAGCAACATATAGATTAAAGAAACAAAAACAAAAACACATAATCACCAAGGTTATGAAAGAAACTTTTATCCTACACAACCCTACAAATATCAAGAACAGGATAGCTAAAGTTAAATAAGGGAGGGGGGTACAGATGGCCAAGCTTATAACCTGAGTTATTCAATCCCTGAGGCCCATGTGGTAGGAGAAAACAAAATCACACAGGTTGTTCTCAGACCTCCACACATATGCCATAGCACATTCATATTTACACAGTATGCACATGTGTACACAATACACTAAATAGATAAATGCAATTTCGAAATTATAAAACTTAGTAAGAGTAAAAAAGTAACTACATTTTAAACATTAGGTAATAAAAAATGAATTGGAAGCAAGCTCATATCACTGAAGATACAATTTATAGCACCTACTAGAAGGAGGGTTGTGGATAAATCCTCAGCCCCAATGTTATTTTTCTTAAATGGCTTAGTTCTTAAACTGCTTAAGCCAAAAAGTCAAAAAACATTTGTCTTTTTTATCATGCTAATAAAAAAACAGATTCAAAACATAAATACAGATAGATTTTGTATTCAGTAATCAGAGCTATTAAAGCAGTAAAGAAGAAGTTTCAAAGCATGTAAAATATTAGATATTAAGAAAACATTATTACCTCAAGACTTGTTGCTGTTATTTTTAAGAACAGTCTACTTTCCTCATTTTAGATCTATCTTAGAAATTACACAACTTTTTTTTTACTACTAAAAGCATTTCTTCCAGGGGTCTGTCGGACACACACACAAAAATCAAGAATTAGTTATCTTTATTTGAGAGAACCTTCTCATAAAATTGTCTGCTTTTTAATTCTCATTAAAATATATACAGAAAACAATGGGGCTGGACAGACAGCTCAGCAGTTAAGAGCACTGACTACTCTTTCAGAGGATCCAGATTTGATTCCCAGCACCCATATGGCAGCTAACACCCATCTATAACTCCAGTTCCAGGGCAAATGGCACCTTCTTCTGACCTCCACGGGCATTGCACGACATGGGTGCGCTTACACTCATAGGCATAAAATAAAATAAAAACAATAAAGAAATATTTAAAAAATATAAATAGAAAACAAATCAATGTGATTTGTATTCCATGTCACTTAAAATCACACAAATTATTTTGAAATTTATAATATAATTTTTTTCATTTTCTTAATTTTCTTCCTTTTGGAGACCAGACTGACTTCCAAATTCAAATAAAAATGTGTAACTTTTCAAGGCATACATAATGCAAGAACTATGCAAGTGTACTGCCAAAGAAATGCAAAACAAAATAAAAAAAAATTACCCTCAGAGGCAAGTACATGTTTAAGTAACACTTAACATAAGTAGAAAATCAACAAAACACTTAAAATTTAGGATATATAATGCCTCAGAATAACAGTGAAATACAGTTCTTAAAGGAAAACTGACAGTACCTTAGTTTTATCACAGTTTACAATAAGAACATGCCAAGGGAAAGTCATTCTTTGAGAAAAGATATAAGACTTATCTTTGCATTTCTACCCAGTGAGATGTCACTGCATTTTTTGTGTGTGCTGTGAGATCTCAGTGGGTGCAGGAACCCTGTGTATTATCAGGTGGAAAAAGCTGGTAAATAGTCACATTTTGTGCAGTATTCTCAAAATCGTCCTTTAAAGAAATGCTGATTCTTATCTGATAGTGTCAACCCTCTCATGTATACACATAAAGTACATATAAAGACATATGAAGATGCCACTGTGAAGGCAATTTTTATGTGCCTTTTGTCTCTTTTAAATATTTAAAAGAATACATACAATTTAGATGCTGCCCAGGTCTTCTTCCTTCACAAATATTCTTTACTCTGAGTCACTTTATAGTCTGTATTTTGCACTGTGTGTAGCATCCGAATCTAGCCTCCCTCTTAGCTGTTAGCTTTTTAACAGGATTTACCACTTTCCTAAATAGCATATTACTGCCTTCTTCAGTTCCCCACAAATGTTCTAGCCAGTGCCATTACCTCAGTAAGTAAATAGAACATTTTCAATGACATTTCTTAAGCTGTCTTATAAATATTTGGCAATAGGTCCTTAGTATTACATTCATCAACACCTACTGGGAATATCTGTCATTTGAACTAAGACAAAGTAATTCATCTTAAGCAACACTATTGTAGTTAAATCTTTATCAGTCATGATAGGCTCACAATGAGAAATTCTAAGAGATAGTCTGGAGTAAGAGCTTGTTAAATCCCCACATTAAAATTTAACAGATTCAGAGATACACTATATTTCTTTGTTATGTACACATATAATAGAACATAGTTGACAGGAGTCAGGGAGACACATGTCACATTTCCTAAGCAAGAGAGATCCAGGTTCTCCACACAACAATGGCTCCCTTTGTTTATAGATCGGTTGCCTTGGAGACTTGACAGAATGGTTTTCACAGCATACTTTATCTAATTATATTGTAGTTCCCTCAAGTTTTTTACCATAAAGTAGCTCAGTTTTCAAAGTCATAGGCAAAGTTCAAGTGAATGGTCAGACTGAATAGAAGGATGCCCAAATTAGCCAATGAATCCCAACAGTTAGTGAAATACTATTTTGAAATTTATTTTTTATATATTATTTATTTCTTTTAGTTTACATAGATGTATCTCTGAATATATGTATGAAGAGCATGTGTGTTCAGATCCCCTGGAACTGGAGTTACAGGTGGTTGTAAGCCACCATGTGGGTGCTAGGAACGGATCCTGGTTCTCTGCAAGTGCAGTAGGCATTCTTGGCAGCTGAGTCATTGCTCTAGCCCCAATGTCATAAATTTTAATAATCTATATTTATTTTCTATATGTTGAGCAAAGAGGTTAAGTGAAGTAACAACTGAGCTATTGTTAGTCTGATGATATTACTTTCACAATTACTGTAAATCTGTTCTCTCACACATCTTACTTACATATAGTCACATTGATAATAAAATAAATGCAGCAGAAATGAGAAAATAAGAAGGAAAATGTAAAAGCACTACTTTCAATAAGAACCAGTCATTTCATTTTTAAAAGTAATTTTAAAAAACTATTTTTGAAGAATTGAATGCTGGATTTTGCATGGCTCCACCACACCACGTTATGAATAGGCAGCTTAGTGTTACCTTCTCGGAACACTGTAGCTACTACAGTAGGAAGCAGTGCTGAGAAGGTTCATGACTCCACACTGTCTGCCCCATGGTCATCAAGTCAGTGCAGGCAAATTGTGGCAGTAAAGCTTGGAGTGAGCCCATGAGGTGATGCAGTAGCTGTTTACTACAGGTAAACCCATTTGGAACTGTCTGAGGGAAAGCAGGTGTTGCCCTGTAAACGGCTCAGAAGTCTTCCTCATGAGCTCCATTTCTCCCCATTCCTCCTGGAAGCCAAGCCCTTGGTCTCTTACAACACGAAAAACACCTAAGGATTTATCTCTATTTAATTTTTTTGCATGAGCCAACTGTTATGTGCCCCATGAAGAAAGGAGGAAAAAAGAAAAAAAAGAAAAAGAAAAAAAGGCCTAAGTGACAGGTTTAGAAGAAACTACCTGTTGAAAACTAAAAACACACTCTTGGACACAGACCCAGCAAGAGAAGGAGCAACTGGCACTCACCTAACCAGGAAGAAGTCCCTTTGTAGAGGAAGAGGTCAGGAGTGGCGAGGGGGGTGAGGTTTCATTTCTTATTTTGTAAGAGAAAACACGTTTGCTTTTGCCCAAAATTGAGTATGTCTCATCAAAAAATAATGTTTTCTACAAAGAGAAAATACTGACTTATGAATTATTCTGCCCTTCCCAAGCTTCACATCAGCTTGGAATACAGTGTCAAACATCAACACACCAGCATGGAGGAATTTTAGCAGAACGTCTTCGTTTTCAAACTAGAAGATAAGGTCGTACGTGATATGATGCTGTATCACTATTCAGAGTTTCCTCTCTTCATAAAGCATTTAGGAAAATCAGCATCCATTAGAGCAGTTCTAAGAACTCTGGTGTGACTAGAACAAACTCATTAATGCACCCTACCTTGCATGAGTTTTGCTCATCCCTAAATAGACCATTTTAAATACTGTATTTTAAGTTTTGCTTAAAAATATTTCTGTGCCCTCTGTGGGCCATGCCACTGCAGAAATACATTTTAATACAAATGTTTCCTGGACTAGATGAACAGAATTTTCTTCAGCTTCAGAGGAGTAAGCACGAACGATACATTTACTTAAATACATGCCAAAGGAGCTTTTGGCTATGTGAATGGGAATGTGTGCCAATATGGATATTTATATAATCGCCGATATCAACCGTAGTCACCATCACCATGTTCTCTTCTTCCCTCTCCTTCCTTTAAACATTCTTACCTCTCTCCCACCTTGTACTGCCTCCAGTCGTTTCAAGCTTAAACCCTGAAGGAAAGAAAAAAAAATATCATTGTATACAAAGAGGTAACCAACATTTACTTCGATCACAAGAACACTGAAGCAAAGAAAATAATTGACATAGCAAAGAATGACTGAATAGAGGTATCTCATGCATGTGCACACATTGGGTGTATGAATGTGGCCTGTGCATGAAGTAAGTCTTCAAGAAGTAACAACGCATTCCTTACTAAACCTATGAGCATATCAGAACTAAAATTCAACGCACCTGTTCTCTCCTCTTAAGAGCCGAAATCCATGCAGACCCTTTGCAATTTAAAGTAGAAGACAGAGCATGCGCTCTCATGGATGATAAGCTCCTGATCTCCCACACTCAGTTGCACAACAAGCACTAAGCAAGGCTGGTAAGCACAGCAGAAACTGGCCCCCAACACACTGGACAACATCTAGAAAACAGGCAGGATTTCAGCTTCAAAACTCAATATTTAAAAATCCTCAGGATTTAATGCTGACACAAGAATTCCCATGTGTAGTTTTACAACTGTTTTCTACAGTGGAATGGGAAAATACAAAAGTCTCTAATATTCATTATGTTTAATTAAAAGCAAGAGGAGTCAATCTATTTCTTAGCAAGCTAATTGCAAAGTGTGTGTGGCAAGCTAATTGCAAAGTTATTGATTGTCTATCCATAAATCATTTATCTATCTATCATCTATCATTTTTAATCTATCTTCATTCAATTAATGTAATTTCATAAGGAAATTTAATAGAAAAATTGACTTAACTTCTAAGCCCAGTGAAGTCCTAATTCCTACTATTTTCCCTGTAGTGGTTGCCTATCTTGGAGGAATGATGTGAAAATTTCAAAGTAATAATGGTAAGACCTTTCCTATCTTCCTTTCCCTTTCCCCTTCTCCTCCTTTTCCTCTTTCATTATTTTACAATATGTATTTATTAAATGCTTTCTCTGAGTCAGGCATCACACAAGATGAAATACTAAAATAAATATTAAAGCATCCCCAAAGATAAGATTGATCCAAAGAAATATAAGCAGCAAACTTCAGGAGATCACATCCTATATATAGTTCTTTGATTATAAGAAGAACAGGGCCTGTGAATGGATATCCAATTAGACCTCCTCATAGAATCACATTAAACCCTCTATGAGCATGAAGAAGGAAGGCAGAAAAGAGACGACTCCTAGAGAGATACCAAGACCACCGAGTACCTAGAGCCTGCCACAGCAGCCTGGCATCACAGGCACTTGCTGCAGTGCCAAAGTCCAGCATCTTCTCCAGACCAGGTAATGCTGCGCACATTAAGACTGAGAAACAGTAGAGAGTGCACGCCACTCTTGCAAAGGACCAGAGTTCAGCTCCAAGTACCCGTGTTGTTTGGCTCACAATCACCTGTAACAATTCCAGGGGAATCTGTCACCTCTTCTCTCCTAAACAGGCAGCTGTACCCATGTGGACATACACCCCCCCTCCACACAGTCAGGCATACAAATAATTTCTTATAATTCTACCCCCCCCACACACACCAAAACAAAAACAAAAACAAAAACAAAACAAACAAACAAAAAAACGGAGAATGAGAAGCTCTGCTCTAAGAAAGATGAGTGGATTAGTGGTTCAGCCTTTAGCCTGCAAACTGTGAGCTGAGCAGAAAAGATAGCAGGAAAATAGGATTCAAAAGCTTGCCAAACTGTGAAAACTTTCAAAAGAATTTGGACTTCCATCTGCAAATGTTACTTTGATAGTGAAGAGATAAAAATAATGGCTCACATTCTCAAAATTCACTTCATTTTCTCCTTTATAAGGAAATGCTCTCCATAGCCTAATAAATTATTCTGTTAAATAGATATATTAAAGTGATTTCTAATGACTTATTGTTATTCACATAGATTAATATAGCTCTCAACTCTTGAGAGAGAAGCTTCTTTACAGCAGATGGTGTAACATGGAGAACTACAACTGGGAAGCTTGCAGAGAACAAGAGGCTACAGACTGCTTATCCCTGATTAGGACACCTACATCAAACTTCTGCCTCCCAAAGTTCAGGGATCATTGTGGAACAGCGGGCAGAAAGATTGTAGGAGCCAGAGGAGATGAATTACACAAGGAAACAGGTTTTCAGAGAGCCGGTCAGTTATTAATATGTACTCACAGCAACGATGACAGCATGTACATGTCCCATATAAGCTCAAGCTCATGTGGGTCAGAAACCAAAGCCCTGCTTAAGGATCTATTGTCAACAGATGGCTACTGGGAAGGAGAAATACAGTCTCATTTAAGGGTGAGACTCTTTGTAGGTTGACCAGGCTCCAGTGGATGAACCCATATTGAAGAGTATTTTGGGATACAAACATGACTCTGTAGGCTTTAATGTGTGTGTGTGTATGAAATTTAGTGTTGGTTTAGTAAGGAGATATAAATATGATCAAAATATATAAAATTATTGAAAATTCAAAAAAAGTAAAAATAGAAATGCTCTAAAGGGAATGTTGGAAATAAACGAATAAATATGTGTCATATGTGTCATTTAAGGTTGAAACTTTTTTTACACAGTTCTCTAATACAACAGCAATAATTTAATAATAAAACTAAGAATTTTTTTAAGTCACAGTACTTCTCTATTTCTGATGGAAAAATGAATATTATATAACTTGAGCTACAGAACTACATTGTCTTCAAAACATCTGAGGGAATTTATAAAATCAGTATGCTACACTTAAATATTTCATCTGTATATCTGTATATTAAGAAAATGTTATCTGCTTTCGTTGTTATATTAAGTAACAAATTAAGGTTAGAATAACTCACTTATTAAGTATCTCAAAGAAATTAACTTATAAAAATTTTTTTTGCAAAAGCATTTATACTTAAAAGATTATGCAGAGTTGTTCTAAAAAGTTATCTCTTCATATTGAACCTCACTTCTTGAATTATTCTGACAAACAACTGGCACACAAATATTACCTACTTCCCTGTCGTTTTTAATCACAAAGTAGACATTACTCTGTGGACTCTGCAAAAGATTCTAGAATCCACCTGGCAGAGCAGTTATGTTAGTAATCAAATGGCAGCCTGCCTCCAACCTGAGAAAATTGTCTGCATTTATAGAACACATTCTCAAACATTTAATTTTCCAGAAAAAATAATATGAAGCAAAATGTTAAAGTATTTTTTAATATATAAGTTGGGTAAAAAATATTCTGAAGTAGACTCACACACACAATTTTTAGTATTGGAAGACATGTGAATGGTTGACAGAAATCAGAATGATGTGTTTTTAAATCTCTATTTGGGACTTCTGTGTGTGTCCCCTAATATGTTTCATAGTCTTTCAACATAATCCTTTGTGCTTAAAAAATAGTAAACATCCTCACTGGCACCTGTGTTTGTCACGAAGGTTAAAGATGTTGTTGGAGCTGTGTTCAGCAAACATCCATGTTGCCTTCTTGGTCTGCCAGTCCTCTTCTACTGCCTGATTTAGCATCATTATTACACATATAATATGTTTCAGTGTAAGCTCAATTTGGATGAAATACCTGTTTTGTTTTGTATTTGGAGAACACTGTTAAACAGAGGAAATTCATAAGCAGACAATGAGACTATTCACATACAATGTGCAAGTTTAAACTATTTTTGCACACTTTTTCTCATTTGATAATTTGTTCTTTTCTTTTTTCTTCAACATATATTCTTACTGAGCTTTTGTGCATTTCATATACCTTAATCATATTTATACCTCTTTTGTTACTGTACTTCCCCTTAGACACCCCCCCCCCCACAGAATCTCACACATTCTGTCATATATGTTAAGGCCTATTAGCAAGTTTGTGTCCCCAGATGTTCCTCAGTGTGAGATCATCCACTAGAGCCTGGTCAGCTAACCTCTTGAAGTAGATTTTGTTTTCATAACTTTTTAAGGAGAAACAATCATTATTTCTTCAGTCTTTCTGATTCTCACTTTTCCATCTATTTAGGGGTGCTGGAGAGATGGCTCAGCAGTTAAGGGCAGTGGCTGCTTGTGCAGAGAAGCTGGGTTCAGTTCCCAGCATCTACAAAGTGGCTAACAACTATCTGTAACACCAGTTCTGGATGATCCAACGACCTCTTCTGACCTTTGCAGGAATTTCACAGATGTGATTCACTTACATACATGCAGACAAAACACTCATACACATAAAATAAAAACAAATGACTTTTTAAAAGTTGTTAAATTGTTTCTTGTCTCCTGTATCATTGAGACTTTATTTTGTCAAGTCTTTTTCCTTGATGCTACATTTTATTTTCTAAAGCTAATTTTCCAAGTTCATCCTTCTTTTTTCTCTACACTAGCCAACTGTCACTTATTCAGTGACATTTTTGTTTTATATTTGATATACAATTTCTATTTTTCTCATTATTTTCATAACTTTCCTCAAACCCTTCCTTTATTTATACATAAAATAGTGACTTCCTAGTTTCTGGCCACTGTCATTTTCAGATCTGTTTTAACTGGCTGTATTTTCTCCTAGTTATAAACCTAATTTTATCAACTCTTCTTTTTTACAATAATTCTTAGGTTGTTTGACAAATATTTTGGGTTGGGGTAAACTTTAGATTTTGCTATAGTCTCTTAGCGCTGGAATTGATTCTTGCAGACTTTTAAGTTCCTGATGCTTGGTTAATTCTTCTGGGGCTTGTTTAGACATATTTCAGTATTGTTAACTCCAGCCCTTCATAAGGCTTGGCCCTCTCTACTATCTACCACATATCCCAAGTACTCAGGGACCATGCAAGACTCTGGGTGATAGGAACTCAGAACACTTCAAGGTTTCAGAGCTTTGGGAATGCTCACAGCTCTCTAGTATTTAGACTTCAAGCTGCTCTTTTCCTGGTCATGTCCACAGTCATATCACATATGTGTAGATTCCCAGTCAAAGACTCTATAGTCAAAGCCTGTTGTTAACATCACCTTCAATGAGTTGAGTACTGACATTTAAGACAAGGGTGTGTTCATGTCAAGGACGCTTACTT